CAACAACAACAAACCACCACCATTTTTTCCCTAGGCAAATACACTCCACAACGTTAACTCACATCTCTAAAAGCTCACATCTTTAAAAGTCTCCCTAAAGAAATGCTTCTCAAACTTCAATGGTTGATCTGCCAGCCCTGTCCTTTGTCAATGACAAGCAAAGAAAAAAAAAACAAGGGGAAAAAGACCCCAAACCACATTTTCTCCTCAATAGAAGACCAGAAAGGAAACCAACATAAGCTAAGAGCAGCTTACAGAAGGCTGACAGTCTCCCACACCCTACATTTTGAGAAATCCTACTGTAAGTAAACTCCCAGACATGCTGGCAAGAAACGCCTCTATTTAGCAAATTTGAAAAAACATGTATGTACCTAAGGACATCACAGGCCCAACAGATCCTTAGGAATCAAGTTGAGCATACCAGGCTTTTGGATAGCATCTATGACAGATTATCTTAGAAAAGAAAAAAACCAATTCATCTTTAAATACAAGAATGGTACCTGAGAGATATTACTTGAACTGAACAAGTATCAAAAAACCTTTGAACCAGAATCATCAGGATTATCTATCTTAATGCACTGTGCATGACAGGCTAAAGTACCTAGAAACAAACAGCTAGGTAGTCATAAAAAGCACATTTGGTAACATTTTGCTGTTTAAAACAAATACACTTATGCAAGAAATTGAATTATTACAACAGTGAAAAAAATATTTTTGAAAGCAGTCCAACAGACAGGTTTTCTTTTAAAACTATTAGTTTTTATGATCAATTTAAAAACATTCCCAGAAAACAGTGTGCCCTCCAATCTGTCTTTTCCTGTTGAACTAGGAATTCCTGGAATCAGTACAAGCAAAAAAATCCAAACCTTCAAGTCCTCAGTTGCTGGAAAATTGGGTGAGGAGAAGTAATGAGGAATTTTTAACTAGTTTGTCATGCTGTATTGGTTTACATTTCTTTTTGCAGGGAATAAATGAAAATTAAGTCTAAAAGTCAATATCCAATACTCTTGTTATACTCTAACTTATATTCCAAATAATGCTTATTTCAAAAATACACAACAATTCTGTACTTTGTAATCATTTAATAATATCTGTGAATAAGGAAGTGTGAATCAGATTTATTGAGCAATATGATTGACTTCAAAGTTCAATGAACTGTGAAAAACTGTCCATATTCTGAGCAGAGGCTTGGACCAAACAACTTCCACATGTAAATGATTTTAGGAGAGGCAATTTTATGCTCTCTCTAAAACCAGCTAACATGAGTTTATTGACCACCAGGCCAATTTCAGTACAACTCTGTTTGTAAACAAAAGTCTGTGCATGCAAGACATTTATTTTATCAGGTATTCCTTTACCTTAAATCTTTAATAACATTGAAAGCCAAAGGCAATGACTAAGTCAAGTCAGAAATCGTTGTTCTAGACTCACTTCTTTGTTCCCCCAAAAATGCAGTAACATAAGATTCTACTTCGCCCATACACACAAATACACGCTCCCAATGAATGAGGCATGTTTGATTCTCACAGAAGAGCATATTATTGCGTTTGTAAAATCTGCATGTTTTCAAATGGTTTTGACAACATGCTGCACACTTGAGGACATGTATCCTGCTGGCAGGATCATCTGTCCTGTAGGCAAAGAAAGTGGGGAAAGATAACAAAATGATAGCACCAAAAATAAAACTTCAGGTGATAGCTCAAGGAGTATTACTACAAATGAGATAAGTAATCCTCGGCAGTGCTCTGGTTGGTAGCACAATGTCTTACAGGAGTTATTTCTGTCTACCTCCTAATACTTTTTTTTCCTCTCCTCTAAATCTAAGAAGATTTAATCCATAAGTAAGAGAGAATTTCAGGAGGGGAAAGTAACTTGCTTTTGCCTTGTAGAAACAAATGCTCTTTCTTGGTTTTAGGAGGCATTTTATTGGACAATTCCTTAGAAATAAAATACAACTACATTTAATAAAGACAGAGGGAATATCAGGCACAGATCCTGACCTGAACTGTCTAAGGAGACACAGTACAAACAAAAAAGGAAACTCACCATTTCATCTTATAAATAAGCAACTATGTCTAAAGCCAAGGAAAGCAGAAAATATTTTCACACTTATATTACTTTTTAGAATATGACTGCATCTGAAGCCATATCAGCTACCATTCTCAACAACCATGTCTCTGGAAGCAAATAGCTACTGTTGGTTTAATGCAGAGTAGGACTGGGAATCTACCAGTTATCTTGTTAATATTTTTTTCTATACACGTGGCTCCTAAAGGATCAATTATACATTGTAAGTTGAATTCAAATGCAGTAAGTATTCTGATAGTAAGAGATAATTACTTACTTTGTTTCTTAATGTAAGTTGATTATGTGCTTATGCAAGAGGCTATCCGGTGGCAGCTGGAACGTTTTACTTCAGCTGAGCCACTGCCTCTATTCATAAGGTACTGAGAGGTGGAAATGGCACTGGACCTACCATTAGAAGGAAAGTAATGTTCACACCAGTTTGACAAAGTTCTGGCACGTATAAGAAGTAAGGAGATTTTGTGCCATGTTCTATCAGAAGTGAGTTAAATTTTCTATTGTTTTGAATAAAAGAAAGTTTATAACTCTTAAGGATGTATATTACGGACAACATTCAAATAGTCAAGAAAACTGGGCTTTGAGTGGGGGTTTTGTTGTTTGGTTTCTATTTTGGTGGTTTTTTATTTTTTCAGTGAAGATGTAACATCACAGAAGGAAGAAAATTGAATTCAGCTGCAAACTTCCAGAAACAAGACCTCCAGATGTTTTTGCAAGGACACTGACAGAAGGCTATTAAACAACTAATGGGTTCATTTGCAGGGTAATTTTTTACATTTACACAAAGAGTAATTGGAAAGTATAGAAGCTATGCTAAAATGTATTTGCACTTAACATAAATCCTTTCAAATAAAAAGTGTTCAAGTCCTACAAAAAGTCCTATCAGAGGACTATACCTCCAAATAATCTTAAAATGCTATAACAATACTTCCTGCAGACAAGTCCAATACAGATTTCATTTGCACATACATACACACCATACACATACAGAGCATCCTCTCTTGACTCACTGTACCTTTGAAATAGAGCTACACACTAACTGCTGAAGAGCCCACACAATTTCATTTGTATATAATTAGGCAAAACCTTGAGTGAAAACAAAGCAAATACTACAAAACCTCAGTAAATTACACATGTCAAATCATTTATATTAGGACCTATGTCATCCCTCCCATATACTCTATAAAAAGGCTATAAAATGATGCCTTAGCTCTAGATAAAAGCAAAGGTATGTCTTTCTAAGGAGCAATGCTTCCACTGAACTGTTAATAGGGAGGACAGACAAAAAATAAACTGCACGTTTTCACTTATTCCATAGTGTCACTGTTGAAAGACTTGGAGATATTGTGAAAAGGAAGACTTGCTAAGTCCCAAATCTAAAAGTTACCTGTTGACCCTGTAAGAACTGCAGTATTTTTCTTTGAAAGCTGCTTAGATTTCCACAGTAGTAATTATTTTTAGAAGTCACTTTGCTACAAGTCTATAAATCAGTATCAAAATTAACTGATTTGGAAAACATCTCAATTTTGAGTACTTGAGAAATAATTAGTTTTTCACTCAAGACCAACAAACAATAGAAATATCATGTCTCTACAACAGTGTTGTTATTTGTGCCCAAATTTGTGTTATTTGTGTTATTTGATGAAGCTTCTTGTTTCAGATCTACTGAATGTTTTGTTTCACCGCAGAAAACCCCCAATAAGAAAACCCTGAAATAAGATGAACTTTTTTGAAAGAGTGTTCTCTTCATGTGTGCATGAAAAGGCAAGTGGTCTACACAATGGAGGTGGAAGGGACAAGGTATCATGAAGCAGTTCATGCTGGAAAACTCGTATTGTCTAACTCATGCCATCTGATCAATGCTTAAGCAAGGAGTTTTAAATTATATGGTGCTGACTAGTTTAAGGGTCTCCATACAGAATTATAGAATATGTTGAGTTGGAAGGGACCCATCACAGGATCATAGTTCAGCTCCCAGCCATGCACAGGTTACCCCAAGAATCACACCATGTGCCTGAAAGCCTTGTCCAAATGCTTCTGGAACTCAGACAAAGTGTATTGACACTGTACAGCAGTGGCCACTGAGTACTGCTCTGAAACTGTATTTTACTTTAAAACATTATGCATCTAACTGTGGACAGCATCTTTAACCATGTTTCAAAATTCTCAACATCTCTGCTATTTCATGCAGAGCCAACATTAGCCAGCTTTCTGGTTTGGTCTCTTCATTAGTTACGTAGTTCCTGTGTCTCTGAAATGATCACATGCCAAAAGATCTAAAAACATTGTTATTCTTTTGAAATCTCTCCAAAAAGGCTATTCCTCTTTTATTGCTAGCTTGTCATTATTGGTTGGTGTCATTTCCTTCAAAAATGAGTGGCTCTAAAGCCTATTGATTTGAGAAGTTCCACTCCAGGGAGCTCACATTAAATTCAGTCAAATGATGAAATTTATTGGATTGTCCCACCGCCTTAGTTCAAAAATTCTCTAGGTTATAGAACAAGGCTAAGCTAAGAAAAGAAATCACCTTGGTAACTCCTTGGAATTAATAAATAAATGAGAAGGCCCATATAAAACACTTTCCTTCAAGTTACAGCAAGTAACAAATCAATACACATCAAAACTATTACTTTATTTTTTCCCCATTCCCCTGTACTGAAATAAGAGAACAGATAACAACTTTTGCAAGTTAGTTCTAATTGCAACAATCACTTTTAGTGATGCAAATAAGATCAGACCAAAGTTATGCAAGGATGGTTTAAAAAGATTATTAGTAGTTTTCCAAGACCTGGAATTGAAAAATTGATTAGCAGATGTCCATTTTACAGCATTTTAAAACTCACACACCCTCCAGACACTTTCCTTTCCCTGTTCGAGCCCTCTAAAACTGTTCAAGCTTTCTTTTCAAACATACCTACATGGACATTCAATACCAATACAACACCAGGATTAAAGGTCAGCAGTGTCATGTAGGCCCAAATAAGATAACATGAAGGTGCTTCCACACCTGTTGGTGCTTCTTCCCTTCAAAAGAATGGAACAGGAAAAAGAAAAAGGTACTAAAAGGTACTTTAGTTTGCTTAGAATTACACCAATACACAAGGTAATTCTTTACAGGTGTTTTCTACAGATCATTTAAACACCAATATTATTTCTGAGCTCTAATAATTACTGTGAGAAAGGAAACACATGATACCTTTTTTTACCCTAGGAAAAAACTCAACAATTTCATCATCATTTACATCTAGCTAAATATACTTTCCTGTGTTTCTCCCACTACCAGACATAGCCAAGAACCAACACTGCATGTCCAGTTTCTGGCATTTAAAACAAAACAAATGTTCAGCTCAGCCTATTACATGTGTTTTCTTAGCTACATACAATATAAAACCAAACAGCCAATTAAGATAAATGAAAAATCAGAAGAATAGGAAAAGAACTACACAAGCTAAGCAAGTAAACCTCAGAGCAGGATCCAAAGGCTCCCTAGCTCAGGCTCTAGGGAATTCAAGTGGATCAATTCCCAAGGTCAGAGAACCTTCAATATCCAACTTTCAAGCATAAACAGAAGTTCATCAGAAAATGTCAAAGGGGGAAAGGTTGTTTGGCCACAGATTTTTAGAAAAACGCTGCTAACCTTATAAATCCAGAAGGTTGACGGACTTTGCCAACCTATGTGTACTATGCTGTCAGGTAAATCCTGTCTGCTCAGTGCATCTATTTTGATGTAAAGTTTTGAAGGTTCTGACCTTTTTTTTCTTGGTTTGCTATATTAGGCATAGCAAACATATTTGAAGTTGACAAAATGTGAGTAACTTCTTCTACATTATACATCAAGAATAAAGACCTACCATACGCAGATGGAAGGACATGTTAGTTCATGTTTCCATGAAGTCCTTGGATTTGTTATGTTTCCATAAGCCCAGAAAAAAACAACAGCAAAGTCTAAAATGCAAATAGCCTCAAGCACCAATGAAACACTTCAGTCTTCTGAAGGTCCTTCCACTTATCAGCATCACTTCTACTAGGGATCTGTATACCACTAGACAAAATTAAATCTGATGCCATTCTTCACCTGAAGTTACTGTAAAGTCAGTCAATGACACAATATTGATGCTCATTCCTGGACCAGAGGTCATCAGAACAACTTACCTGTGCAGCATCATTTCCACAAATCAAATCTGCACAGAAAACTCATCAGACTTGTCCACATGACACTGTAGTTGCTTCCCTTATAGTTAAAAAGGCACAATCGTGTCCTCTCTGTTTCAAGATACATCGGTGTTATTTTGTTATGTATAGACTAATTTCCTAAATAATGCTTTATTTAGAAATCTAATAGAAATTTTCTACCCCTTCCCTCTATGTTAACATAAACAAAATAAAAATGCTTTGTTACAGGACTATGCTGGCTTTTTTCTTCTTGGGAAAGCAAAGTACTTAGAATTTCAAGTTTCAGCTTCTGTGCTCTTTTAATACTAGTATAATAAGAGATTAAAAGTTAACAATGCACCAACTGTTACAGAAAATAAGACTTAGTTGTTGGAACAAACAAGATTTCTACTCATATTAAAGCATAAATCCTTAGAAAACATTTGCAAAAGGAGAAAAAACAATCTATTTATCTGCAAAAACAAATTGCAAACACTGCAGATTTTATTCTAGGCATCAGAAAGGAGAAGTCTTGAATTAGATCACATTAAATATAGTGGTACACAATGTCGAATTAAAAACAAGGGTTTCAAGTTTCCTATACAGCTTCATAACTAATTTTATTCAAAATAACATGATCTAAACAGCTATTGTGGGAATGATTCAGGATTATTGTAGATGAAAAAGCTCTTATTAATAAAAATGGTTCCTCTTCCACAAAGGAAAAGGAAGTCAAAGCATTAGCTGTCAAGTCACTCAGACATAATACAACAAGAAGTATTCTCTTATGCAATGCATCCCTTGCTCAATCTATTATAGTTTAAGTTGCCACAACCTAGATACAGGGAAAGGGAAATAAAGCAAATACCACAACATGAACAGAAAGGTTCATGTCTTCTTTTGTAAGACATAAAAAGATCCCTAAACACAAACTGTAGTTCTATCTCTACGTTTTTCTTCTCAAGGCTGCCATGCATGAGAACACTTTTTCCCTAAAAAGTATCAACATTTTAATAAAATCCTTCTCTACTGTTCCACTGTTTATATTACCCATTTCAGCTGGTAAAAGTTTCTTTCTATTGTCTTCCTCTTGTGAAAGCATTTTTCTGCATTCGCACTGACAAAAGGCTTTCATCGAAAAGTTTCGTGCTGTTCTTGCAACAAAGCTGGCTCATCCTATTCTTTGCTGACAGGTAATTCTAACAAAAGACAAAAAAATATCTGATCATAAGCACACCTTACCTTGAGAACCTTCCCGCTAGAGATCAAAGCAAGTCAACACAAAAAGGAGCTTTTAGGCTGCTCTTTAGTAAAGAGTAACAGAACCATGAACCAAGATCAACCCAGCAGCAGGACCACACACTGCACTGCAGCAGGATGTGTTATTTCTGTATCAGTCTCCCAAAACCGATAGTGTTACAGTAACTATTGTTTTGTTTGTGTGCATGGGGGGGTGTTTCATATTCCACAAATAGAGAATCTCAAGTCTTATCTTTTCTTCTGAACCAGAACAGAAGAAATATAGTCTGTTATGCAGTGCTGGGTTAACAGTTGATCTTAGAGGTCTTTTTCAACTTAAATGGTTTTCTGATTCTATTTTCCTGTGTTTTAGTACAGGGAACCAAATGAAATTCAGAGTAGAACAACAAATCCAGTCTTTTGGGAAAAACTGGCAGATAATGAAAGCCGGGTTGACACTCAGCACGACAGCCATGCAGGCTGGCCAGCACAACAAAGTACATCTATAGCAGTGGACTAAACAGGACTGGGACCTGGGTGAAGTGAGGATCATCATACACAAATAACTATGGAAATGTTTTACAGAACAGTAGAAAATTTTGATGACAACACAAAGTTAGGCACCAAAAGAGGACTGGGATATTGTATTAGAACACCTTGAAAACTTTAGTAAAAGAAAGTAGCAAAATTTAATTGTACAGAGTATAAGCTGAAGGACTTCTAAGGACTAATAGCAAAAGCTGTGGCTATAAACTGGCAGTCCATTAGCTGGGAGAGGGCCAGATGGTGGGATGCTGCCTATAGAGAAAGGACAGTACTGATGGTATTATACAAGGCATGGGTGGCATCTAAAAAAAAAATGTATGATTCTGGCCTTCCTTACTCAAAAAAAGACCATCTCAAATTAAAGCAAGCATACAGCAGGGCTGTATCAATAATCAGAGAGCCTTTTTGATGAAAAGAAACTAACCTATCTAGGAAAATTTAGTAATCTATGAAATTTAAGTGTGGAAAAAAGTGTGGTTGTCCTCTATAAAAGAATAAAAAGGACTCAATACTAAGTAACAACTTCGTTTATAAACAGACATGCATTAATTGTCTGTAAAGTTTGACTGAAAATTAAAATAAGGTTTCCAAACTAAGAAGCAAAGTTTTGGTTGTTTGTACAGTTTTGGAAGAGACATAATAAAAAACTGTTTCCAACAGGGGAAAAAAGTTCTAGCAGCCCTGAACTTGGTAAATTGATGACACAAATGGTGGCTGCCTGAAATATGCAACTCTATATGAAAGAATAAAAGCCAAAAGGTACTGCTAATCATTCACTCACAGACACATGACCTCTCACTGAGAATTTTAAGTCATCACCAACCTGCATATTTCTTCCACTGGAAAAATGTTAAGCTCCTAAGATATTTTTCATTACAGAAACATATTCACTTGAAATAATATGGCACTATTTTATGAAATGAGATTCTGTGAAATTTCAGAAAAAGGCTTAGGGGAAAAAAAAAAAAGTCACCTGACATGTACTTCACGAGAAAGTTTCTACCAACCATAACACCTCTAATTGCTTATCTAGTCTATACTTAAAATGTTCTTCCATCCCAGAAGACTTTTTGCTGACAAACATGACTAGACAGATGACTACACCTATACATCTGTATTTATTGGACATATGTATTGTGCAGTCAGAGCTGGCAATAAAAAAGAATTTAAAACTAATGCACTTGTCAAACAAATGGAACAAGCTCAGACTTTGCTTATTTCAATTATCTAAGCCTAGCAGCCTGTGGCCTCAAAGATGAAGGTTAGTACACTTACATCATCAAAAACATCTCAACACAACTGAAGTAGCACAGCCTTTTCTAATTGCTATGGAACAGGTTTGGAACCAATGAAAACAGCAAAATACATTAATATTACAATCCTAAAATTTTCAAGTCTTCAAGCTGCAGAACAATATCTGTAGTTATTAAAATATCAATAGCTATCTTTGAGGATACTCCATTGGGATAAGGGCCACCATAGCTAAATTTAACCTTTTTACAGTAATTATTTTTAAGTTCCTGGGTCAGTGGCAGTATTCAACTGAACAACAAAGTCTAGAGTTAAAAACCAAGTCCAAGTGGCATGGCCTTTGTTTAAACAGAAACCTGTCCAAGAGGTACCTGTGGACTCCTGCCCAAGAAAACAGTGCCTGAGACTGGGAGTATCCCCACAGTATCATATGGGGATGATGTATGATGTCAGAAGTCTCAAACATCTTCCTGTAATTATGATGTCAGAAGTCTCAAACATCTTCCTTTAATTACACTTACATTGTAATTACCTTAGTTTTGCAATAGGATTTCTGCAAAATATTTTCAGGGCCAAGAGGGTGGTGAATTAGAGGCAACCTCTGAACAGTCATCACTATCTGTAAGGCAACCTGTTCTTCCCTCCCAGTTCCCTGTTAAGAGCATTCATAGCCTGCAACACATAAATGAAGCAACTTCTGTTCTCACTTCTGTATCATCAAATCAACACTGTCATGATGTCAGTACAAAGTGTTCTTGCTCCTGACTACATAGCTACTGCCCCAAAATACAGATAAGGTCAAGGGCAATTCCACAGAAGTATCTTCTGTCTATGGTGCCTTTTGGAGGAGACACCGTGTGTGCTATAGTCACTGAATTTTCTAGGTATAACAGGTTATTCTAGTGAAGGAAACCACAGCAAAAAAACCTGTCTAAACTTGCTAAGGTATGGCTAATGGAAAGACACCTACTTCAGCCTTTAAAAGACCCATAAATAAGGTTTTGAGGGTTGTCTTATTAACACACTCAACCTCCCACAAAAGTCTCCACTATAATAATGGCCTACCCATGAGAGATATAGCCAGTGTGCTTGAAATATTTATAGCTGGCTTTGAATAACAGAATCATTAAGGTTGGAAAGGACCTCCAAGATCATCAAGTCCAACCTTTGACTGATCACCACCTTGTCAACTAGACCATAGCACAAAGTGCCATGTCCAGTCATTTGTTGGCTTCTAACAGTATTTCACTCACAGGTCACCAAATGCCAGTTATCTAATGGTTGCAGGCAACATTAGCTGAAGTTTTAGTGACTCCTAAACTTTGACAATTACCAATACTAACAGTATCCCAGCCAGGCATCCTTGATGGCTTTCTGGGTATAATGAGCCACATACCACCAAAACTGAATTGTGTTCAATTCTGAAAGGCAGACAACTCTTGGTCATAAAAAAAAGAGTGGACAAAATGGCCAGAAGACTAAGGCATGTGATTTTACACTAAAGGATTACCTAACATGAGGCTGACTGCACAGTCTCTCTGCAAAGTGAAGAAGAAATAGATGTGACATTCAAATCTGACTTCAACAAAATACATTCTGACCAAAGAAAATATGTTAGTATGGGCACAGGAACAAACATACATCATGCGTAGAATGAGACAAAGGAATTAATGTCAAGAAAGGAAATCTCAAGAGGTGATGTGTGCCCTGAACATATGAAGATCAGTGAGCCCTATATTCTCATTTTCCATGCAACTCCTGAGCCTTCCAGGCAACAGTAGTACCTGTGAGACAGCAACATATTACTGAACACCAGAAGCAAGAGGTTGGAATGAAGAGGAAAAAAATTACCAATGGAAAAGAGGAGCCATGAAAACGAACTCGGCAAATAGACAGAAGTCCTTTGAAAAAAGTGATGTTTCTTCTGATATTAATCTGGCATATGTGGATGGTACTGAAATGAGGTAAATATGATGCC